AAAAAAAATACAGTGGTGCTAGGATTCAGGGGCCACTCTGAAGGAACTTTCAAAGCTGGGAATTAGAGTGACAAAATAAATATTACATTATCAGATTATTAGTCTAACCATAAAATAAATATTCATGCTTCTCTACTGATATAAGTAAATAATTGAGTGAATGAATGAATAAATAAATAAATGAGGAGGAAGAGACAAGTCTTCCCTAGAGAATTCCAAATACTTATTGGATGCTTCCCCTCTGTTTCCCCTGAGTGTGAGCTTGTTAGTGACTTGTTTCCAAAGGACAGGGGTCGGAAAGGGAAAGCAGAGATGTTAACATGGAGAAACCTGGAAACGCCAGCTCAACCAAATCATCGAGGTCACCATCATCAGTGATAATCGTGGGTATATCACATGCTCCCTGATAACGATGTCACTTCAGCTCTGCAGTATTCTCCCCTAAATCCATAACCCAAAGGTCAAAAGTGGAACAAGGAGAGACAGAAACATTCATGATAGGAGCTCTGTAAATTTCTGGAGGAGAAGGACATTAATAGGAAAACAGATAAGATCCCTGTAGGTCTGCAGTTTAGTTACTGCCATGTAGTGCTTTTTTGTTTTGAAAACTGCACCCTGGTAATGTGAGATGGAAAGGGAAACTGAAACTAGGTGTGTGATATTTTTAAAATCTATACTATTTTTGCAGCTTTACAATAAACAAAAAATCCGAGGGGGTGGAGGGCGTAGTTCAGCGGTAGAGCACTTGGCTAGCATGTGTGAAACCCTGGGTTCAATTCCCAGGACTGCAAGAAAAGAAAGAACAACTGAGAGGCCGGGGAGGGGGGTGCCACATGTCTGTAACCTCRGAAACTAGGGAAGTTGAGGCAGGAGGATGGCAAGTTTGACGTCAGCTCAGCAAGTTAGTCAAAAACAGCAAAATACTGCTATGTTTGTGTGATAGGAAAAGAAAAAACTGGTTTTTGATAAATGTTCCTTAATTCAGACTTATTCCTTGTATTGAAAATGTTTATTATCTCGGATTAGAGGTCTTCTATTAGGCCAAGATTGATGATGCACTCCTGTAGTTCCAGCTACTGGGGAGACTAAGGCAGGAGGATCACAAGTTCCAGGCCAACTGCAGCAACTTTGTGAGACTTTGTCTCAAAAGTTATAAAGGGTTGAGGGCTGGGGATGTGGCTCAAGCGGTAGCGTGCTCGCCTGGCATGCATGCGGCTCGGGTTCGATCCTCAGCACCACATACAAAGATATTGTGTCCGCCGAAAACTAAAAAATAAATATTAAAAAAAAAGTTATAAAAGGTTGAGGATGCAACTTAGTGATAGAATGGGGTCCCTGAGTTCCATCCCTAGTACTGAAAAAAAGGCTTATATCAGTTTTATAGTTAACAACAACAAAAACTAAATAAAGCATTTTGCACAATGCCTATATCAGCTCATTTAATCCTCACAAACAGCTATAAGATTCCTTCCCTGTCTTCCAGATGAGGATACTGAGGTTCAGAAAATCAGGATGATTCACCTAAGGACCTATAACATACCAGAGGAGGATCGGGGATTTGAACCTGTGTTGGTCTGAGTCCAGAGGGATGCAGAAATGGCAAAGCTTTAGGCTGTCTCTGGAATCAGAAGTGGGTGGTCTCTCTMCCAAGCAGATTTCTCTTTAGTCCAAGGAAGAATTTTTAACTAGAATTGTCCAAAGAATATGGGCATCCTGAAAAGGGAATGAGTTCCCTGTCACTAATGATGTCCAAATAGAGGACCACTGAGTGTCCTGGAGGGGGATCCAGGAGAACTGACACTATACCTTCTTCCTCAGACCTAACTGGCAGGACTGTYTCTCCTTGGAGACCCAGAGCTACACAAGATAGGCTGTGTTGTCTCACTGGATCGCTGGCACCCTGGAGGTGGATGTCTGGGGCTTCTCCATCTTAGTCTTCACCATTGCCCCATCTAGAGGGGGTACATCACTGTCACGCTGGAGAGGAGGGGACAGCTTTTAGTCACCTTCCAGTGTCAAATCCTGATCTAGATGCTCTAAATCGTGAGACCAATGTAAGAGGTAGGTATTTTGGCAGAATTTGATTTCATTTATTCATTTATTTTGGTACTGGGATTAAACCCAGGAGAGCTCTACCACTGAGCTACCACCAACCGGGCACGGTGGCACATGCCTGTAATCCCAGCAATTTGGGAGACTGAGTCAGGAGGATCCCAGGTTCAAGACCAGCCTCAGCAACTTAACGAGACCCTGACTCAAAAAATAAAAAGGACTGAGGATGTGGCTCAGTGGTTAAGCGCCCCTGGCATGTAATACATATAAGATATATAAATATATAAACATATAAGTATGTGAATATATATGTACATGTGTATTTAATTATTTACTTCTTTGTTTTTCTTAAGACAGGATCTTGCTAAATTGCCCAGGCCAGCCTCGAATTTGCAATCCTCCTGTTCAGCCTCCCGAGGAGCTGGGATTACAGTCGTGCGTCATGGAGCCTGGTCCTATTTCAGAGATGAGGATTCTGAGACCAGGAGAAGGAAGTGACTACACCAAGGGCGCCAGGTCCGTCCTCTCSAGACGGACTCCCACCGTGCCAGCCTCGGTGGGGGCGGGGCTTCGAGTGGGCGGGGCCGTGGGTGTCCTGGGGAGGCACCGCCCGGTTCTCCCGGGTTGGCGGGCTGGGGCCATTTGGTCTGCGCGCAAAGAGCCGCGGGGACCATGGAGCCGGTGCCGCTGCAGGACTTCGTGCGCTCCGTGGACCCCGCCTCCCTCCCGCGCGTGCTGCGGGTCTACTCCGGAGTCTATTTGGAGGGTGAGTGGCGGGGCTCTCCCCAGGTGTGGGGCGAGGGCGTTGTAACCTAGGGAAGCCTCAGCCGGGGTTCCAATGCTGACGCCTCCACAGCCCAGGGTTGGTGGTTTGGGGCCACCATCAACCCCTCTGCACCTCAGCTTTTGCTGTCGTGGAATCGGGGACCGCTGACCTGTCTTGCAGGTGGTGCTGGGAAGTCAGTGAGTTCGGCACGGGAGGTGGGTGGAAGCGAGCCAAGACCTGGTGGAACCACGGTTTGCATACTGTGCGGTTTTTTTTTTTTAATTTTATTTTTCGTTGTAGATGGACACAATATCTTTATTTTTATTTGTTTATATTTATGTGGTGCTGAGGATCGAACCCAGGGCCTCACTTGTGCGAGGCAAGCCCTCTACCACTGAGCTACGACCTCAGCCCCATACACTATGCGTTTTGAGAACCGAGACTGTGCCCAGGGAGCGGCATCAGGGCGCTCTGGAGCATTGCTGTTGTTTGACCATTTGTGGTGCTGGGGATTAGGGCTTGAACCCGGCAGGCAAGTGCTTCTTTACTGAGCTACATCTCAGCCCCCAATGCTTAAGTGACAGGTCGGTCCTCCCATCTCTGCCATACACTCCTCCCTACTCTGTCTTCCCTCTGCTTCGTCTCTGGCCCTTCGCTAGATGGTGGGCAGTACCTGATCTGACCGGTCTTCAGTTTTCAACTTAAACGGCTCTTACTCCGGGAAGACCTCCCTGCTCTTTGCTCCTTGGCTCACCTGCACATTGCTCTCTGCCCACAGCCCACCTGCAGAGGCACAGTGATAATTTATTGCCTGAAAGAACTAGAGGGATTGACAGGCAGTGCACGGAAAGCTAGGCTGCTCTGTGGGGAGAGAGAAACTTTGGGCCAAAGTGGAAGAAGGGGAGGTGGAGGAGGAAGGGATCTGAGAGTGCTGGGGGTGGGGTGCAGGCTCCTGACTTGTGCGCAGTTCTTCTGCAGAAGTGCCCTGCGCCATCCTTCTCCCTCGCTGGAGCAGCACTTTCTGCACCACAGCCATTTCCTGCAGTGTTCTGAGGACCCAAATGGGATCCTAGGCTAAAACCGAGACACACAGAGGACCACCCAAGGCTTGCCTGAGGCTCCAGGGGCACCACCTCATGGTGGGTCTCTCCAAATCCATTTGGGAATCTGAAGGATTTGAGTTCAAGTTCTGACTTCACCTCTGGGGGCTTCCTGCAGACAGGCACCTGGGATCTGTTTGTTTTTCTCCCCAACCTGGGACCAAGCTCCTCTTACCTCCCAGCTCTCTTGCCTGCCCATGTCACAATATCTGAGTTTCCTCATTCTGCCTGACTTAGGGTGGTGGGAAATGGCGGAAGCCGGAGTGACGTGATTAGAGAAGAGCTTGACAGGGTGTGAGTGTGCAGATGGGATGAGTGTGGAGGAGGGTCAGTTGGCTATTCCGATAGGGGCAGACACAGGGCAGGGGACTCTGGACTAGTTGACTATGTAGTTAGGAGCACTGGTTTTGGAGGCAGCTACCTTGGGCTTGATCCCAGTTCAGCCTCCTGTTACCTGATCATCTGATGAATGCACTCAACCTCTTCAGTCTAAGTCATTATTTAAGAATGAGAAACTGCTCCTTTCTCCAGGGCACGCCTAGGTTTAAAATGCAGTGATGCATGTGTAGCACTTAGGAGGGTCAGGTATATGTAGCTCTGCAGCTGCTGCTCTCACTGGCTGGGGGCGGTCCACATCCTCACATTGTAGACGGAATGTGGTGAGCCCGTGGGCATTTTCCTGGGGTAAGAATAAAGTTCTCATTGAAGAAGACCTTAGAAGATGGAAAGATCTCCCATGTTCTTGGATAGGCAGAATTAATATTGTCAAAATAGCCTTACTACCAAAAGGGCTATACAGACTTAATGCCATTCCTATTAAAAATCCAGTGATATTCTTCATAAAAATAGAAAAAGCAGTCATGAAATTCATTTGGAAAAATAAGAGGCCCAGAAGAGCCAAAGCAATCCTTAGCAAGAAAAGTGAAGCAGGAGGCATCATGATACCAGAACTTAAATTATACTATAGAACTGTAGTAACAAAAACAGCATGGTATTGGCACCAAAACTGACCCAAAGGCCAGTGGAAATGGAATAGAAGTCAGAAACCCATATAAATACAGTTATCTAGACAAAGGTGCCATAAGCATACATTGGAGAAAAGATAGCCTCTTCAACAAATGATGCTGGGGAAACTGGGAATCCATATGTAGTAGATTGAAATCCCACCCTGCACAAAACTCAACTCAAAGTGGATCAAGGACCTAGGCATTAGACCAGAGACTACACCTACTAGAAGAAAATGTAGGCCCAATTCTCCATCATGTCAGCTTAGGAACCGAATTTCTCAATAAGACTTCTAAAGCACAAGAAGTAAAATCAAGAATCAATAAATGGGATGATATCAAACTAAAAAGCTTCTTCACAGCAAAGGAAACAAATATGTTAAAAGAGAGCCTGTAGAAAGGGAAACAATCTTTGCCACCTGCACCTCAGATAGATAAAAAGAACTCAAAACACTTAACCCCCCAAAAAAGTATATCCCAATCAATATCAAATTTTTCTTTTTTGATGGTGTTGGAGATTGAACCTGGGGTCTTGTGTATGCTAGGCAAGCACTCTACCAACTGAGATATAATCCCCTGCCCCCTTTAAAATATATCAAAAATTTTTCTTTGTTTTTAACCCAATCAATAAATGGGCAAAGGAACTGAACAGGCACCTCACAGAAGAAGAAATACAAATGGACAACAAATATATGAAAAACTGTTCAACATCTCTGACAATTAGAGAAATGCAAATTAAAACTACACTGAAATTCCATTTACTCCAGTTAGAATACAAGTAGGGGCTGGGGATATAGCTTGGTTGAAGAGTGCTTGTTTCACATGCACAAGGCCCTGGGTTCTATTCCCAGAGCTACAGGAAAAAAAAAAAAAACAAAAAATAAGTAACAAAAATTGTTGGCGAGGTTATGGGGGAAAAGGTTCACTCATACATTCATACATTGCTGGTGGGTATGGAGATTCCTTAGAAAACTTGGAATGGAACCACTGTTTGATCCAGTTATCCCACTCCTTGGAATACCCAAAGGACTTAAAATCAGCATATTACAGTGACACAGCCACATCAATGTTTATAGTAGTTCAATTCACAATAACTAAGCTATGGAACCAACCTAGGTGCCCTTCAACAGATGACTGGGTAAAGAAAGTGTGGTATATATACACAATGGAATATTACTCAAAGAAGACTGAAATTATGGCATTTGCTGGTAAATGAATGGAACTGGAGACTACCATGCTAAGTGAAATAAGCCAATACCAAAAAAAAAAAAAAAAACAGAGGCCACATGTTCTCTGTGATATGTGAATGCTAACACACAATAAGGGGGTAGAGGGAAGAATAGAAGTTCAGTGAATTAGACAAAGGGGAATGGAGGGAAGGAGAAATATGGAGGGGGGATGGGAATAGGAAACACTGTAGAATGAATCGACATAGCTTTCCTATGTTCATATGTGAATACACTACTAGTGAAACTCCACATCATGTACAATCACAAGAGTGGGATCCTAATTAGAATAGTTATAATGTATAATATATCAAATACACTCTACTGTTACGTATATCTAAAAAGAACAAATTTTAAAATGAACCTAAAAAAGTGAGTAAAGTTCTCTGGGCCAGTGTGAGGGATCTCCTGGGGGGTTCCCTGGGAGTAGGGTGGGGTCAGGTGGCCCCAAGGCCTTCCACCTGCAGTTTTCTGTCTGCGATCAGTTGGATGGGGAGCCTGTGCATTCTATGCGGTGAGAGATCTCTACTATGCATCTTCTAAGTTCTCTGCATGGCTTTAGCAATTTAAAACAGGAAAGCAGAGCTGCCAAGCTTGTAGGTGGCACCCAGAACCTTGACCAAAGGGCCTTACCCTGTCAGTGGCCTCCACTGTCTACTRTGCTTCCTTTAAAAGCAACTCATCTGGATGGGTGTGGTGGTGCATTCCTTTAGTCCTAGAGACTCAGGATGCTGAGGCAGGAGGATCGAGTATCATGAGTTCAAAGCTGTCCTAAGCAATTCAGTGATACCCTGTCTCTAAATAAAATATTTTAAAAAAGGGCTGGGGATGTGGCTCAGTGGTTATGTGCTCCTGGATTCAATCCCCAGTACCAAAACTAATTAATTAATTAATTAACTAATTAAAAAATAAAAGCAACTCATCTGGCCTGGAGTGTGGTGCATGCTTGTAATCCCAGCAACTCAGGAGGCTGAGACAGGAAGATTGCAAGTTTGAGGTCAGTCTCATCAATTTAGCAAGGCTCTAAGCAARACTCTGTCTCAAAGATAAAAACAAGGGGCTGGAGTTATGGTTCAGTGGCAGAGCATTTGCCTAGCATGTGTGAGGCAMTGGGTTCAATCCTCAGCACCACATATAAATACATAAAAAATAAAGGTACATCAACAACTAAAAAATATTAAAAACAAAAATAAATAAAAATAAAAAACAAAAAGGGATAGGGATGTGGCTCAGTGGCAAAGCACCCCTGGGTTAAATCCTTGATACAAAAAAAAAAAAAAAAAAAAAAAAAGCATTTGAAGCAGAAAGCAAGGTGTTGGGAGTGTCTGGCGCGTACCTGTGTGACCTGCAGGAACCACTGACTCTCTGAGTCTGTACAGTGAGGGAGTTGAGGGTCACTGGATTATTTACTCAGAGCCAGGCCATGCTGGCTGCAGTGACGCYGAGATGGACCAGTCCTACCTGAGAGCTCATGCTCGGAGGCACAGCCATGTGAAAAAGGCCAGAGAAGGCAGCACACAGGGGCGTATATAACGCTAAGAGAAAGCAATGACAGGGCTGTCCTGAGGATGGCTGAGCCAGCTGGCAGAGGAGGGGTGGCCAGGGAAGGGCATTCTAGGCAGCAATTTATGCAAAGGTACAGCAGAGCAGAGTCCGTGGGGAACAGGGCACAGGCCACCCAGGGCTTGGCCCTTGCCAACTGAGGAAACTGAGTCCTTGTCTCCACAGGCTCCATCTATGAGATCGATGGGAATGAGTGCTGCCTCTCCACAGGGGACCTGATCAAGGTCATCCAGGTTTGCCTCCAGAAGGTGATCTGTGAGGATCCAGGGACAGGTCAGACCTTGGAGCTCCCTCCCAACTTTCAAGGTAAGGACACCTTTGCCTCCCTTGGCACCCTCCAGGCATGCCAGTGGGTCACTTGTGGGTGTGCTTGCTGATCCCAGTACCTACTCCCACCCCTCTGGCTTTACACACGAGGTTCTCATATTCACCACTATCCAGCCTCAAGGCCAAGGATGAATGACTTCAGAGCAGTCTGACACTCTGATCRCATCTGCTTCTGTACTCTGATCGCATCTGCTTCTGTACCAGGCCTATGCTCACTCACATATTCACTCATCAAACATCTGCCAACACCCATATGTGACAGGCCCTAGCAGGGGCAGGAGTGTGGAACTCAGGATGAACCAGGTGCTTCCAGGGTGGCAGTGAGAGGTGGACAACAGCTGAATAGGCACATACTTTAGAGAGGACTCTGGGTGCAGAAACCTGCCCTGCCAGTGCTCTGTAAGGCTTGCTGGAAGCAGTGGCTCCCAAGCTAGAAGAAGGATCCCAGCTTGAAATGCACATGTGTATATGGTGTTTAAAAAACCCCAAGGCACCCAGTGATCACACGAGACCTGTACCTTGGTGGACCATGGCCCAGACCTTGAACAGCAGCCTGGATGGGAATCCCAGATCTGCTATTATCTCTTGACCACCACAAGTTCCTGTGGTCTCACTAGGCCATAGCTTCCTCCTCTGTAGTGAGGGCATTAGGCTTGGTGTGAGGATTAAAGGAGCTGGGTGTGTGACGTGGAACAGGGCTGGCACACAGCAAGCACACTCTGAGGACTTGCTCTAGGCTGATGTGAAAGAGCGTGGATTCCARGTGAGGGGAAGTTGAGAGAGGGGAGCAGGAGCCAGACCACCTGAGGCTGTGAGGTGGGCTCAGCACAGTTTGGTCTCTTATTCTTTATTTTATGTGGTGCTGAGGATCGAACCCAGGGCCTCACACGTGTTAGGTGAGCTCTCTACTGCTGAGCCACACCCCAGCCCCTGGTCTCTTATTTTTTCTTTCTTTATTTTTTTAGTACCAGGGATTGAACCCAGAGGCACTTTACCACTGAGCTACACCTTCAGCCCTTTTTATTTTTTATTTTGAAACAGTCTTAATAAGTCACTTATAGCCTCACCGAATTGCTGAGGCTGGCCTTGAATTTGGGATCCTCTTGCCTCCTGAGTTTCTGGGGTTACAGGGGTGGGCCACTACACTGGACTTGGTCTCTGTTTYGAAGGTGCTGAGCAGTCAGTGAGGTTTTTAAATACACAAGTGACATTTTGTTTATTGTTTCTGGTACTGGGAATTGAACTGTACAAGCTTCTTTTATTTTTTATTCTGAGGCAGTGCCTCACTGCACTGCCCAGGTTGGCCTGCAACTTGCCATTCTCCTGTCTCCGCTTCCCAAGTATCTGGGATTACAGGCCTGTGGCCAGCCTGTCCTATTTTTTAGTCCTCCTTCAGGTTAGCGTATCTCCTCAGACTTCCTTTGTTTTGATGTGGACATTTCGAAGACTCCAGATCAGCACTTTTTTTTTTTCCTTTTCGTGCTGGGGATCTAACCCAGGACCTTGCAAATGCTAAGTACATGCTCCACCGCTGGCCCCTAGACCAGTACTTTTGTGGAATGCCCGTCAGTCCAGGCTTTGTAATRTTTCCTTGGTTAGATTTGAGTTGTGGGTTTGGTGCAGGAAACATCGCTTTTGGGGATGGACATTTAGGCCACTATGGCAGATGAGTGGTTGTGGCTGGGGGTGCAGCGGAAGAGCAGAGAGCGCCAGCAGACAGGACAAGGGGTAGGTGGTGACCTGAAAACACTTTAGCCAGTAATTCCTGGAGTTTTGGAGAGAGGGACAGTGGCACTACCCCTGGTGTGGAGTGGGGGGACAACAGGTTTTGGATGTGTGGGGTTGGAGCTGTGGTGTGGCATCAGGTAGAAATGACAAGTTGGCAAAGTGAGAGGCAGGGAGGTCTTGAAGTGGGAAACTGGAAGTCGTCTGTGTCTTCTGGGGAAGGGGACACTGTTCTGTTCTCTGCCTCTGGTGACAGTCCCCTTCTGTCACCACTTCTGACCCTTACTGTCCATTCACACTGTCATTGTGCCTTCTGTCCCTCAATTCTGCAGCCTGGATGTCCAGATGTAGGCCCACCCTCAGGGTATTCTGGCTGGGTTGTCTGCAGGGCCACTCCAGGAACTGGACCTAATAAGATCTGCACCCATCCTGACTTTCCCTCCCTCTGAATCCCACAGGTCACTTCAGTCCTCTCACCAGCCCCCACAGCTTCAGAACCCTAGAGGAGCTTGTCTGTGATACAACTCAGAGCTCCATACAGTTGCCCATTTACTTCACGTCAATCCACAGCATTGTCACAAAGAAGAGGGTGGTGACTGAGAACCAGCCCCTCATGCTTGAGGCTGTGGAAATGCATCATGGGACCCACTGTGCACGCTGTGTCTTGGTGTCAGGAGCCCAGCAGGTTGTCCTGCACCTGCCCCTGTCCCAGAAGGGGCCCTTCTGGAGATGGAAGCCTGGCACCCCCCAAACCCTGCTCCAGGTTCTGCAGGACCCAGCTTATAGGGATGGCATGTTTACCTGTCCAAGCCTTCCCTGGAACTCCCTGATCCTAAGGCCCCAGTATGAGGTCCAAGCCATCATGCACAGTGAGTAGCCTGGGCGGGGGTGGGGGGGATGGATGTGGGGGGATAGAGGGCCCTGGGGAGCTGGTCTGATGGAAGACATCATCCCTCCATGGGGCGATGTCTCCCCTACTCTTAGGGGTACCAGGTGGCTTGCCCAGTACATACAATGTATCAAATAAAAGTGCCCAAGTGGGGAATTTGGTGTAAAAGGAAATAAGAAAATGGGCTAAACATGAGTGCTTTGTAGAACTGGCAGAAGTTGGGTTCTGAGCTTGCTAGCAGCTGGTACAAAGAGACACTTCCTCTCCAGGAACTGCAGTTGTTGCCAAGCGAAAAGCTGACCAGTTGTTTGGGAGGAACATTTCCTGACTTGGGGAGAGGAGGATTGCTCCTGAAAGCCCCCTCTGTTGAATGACCAGAGGGTACGATCAGTGAACCCCAGCTGTTTCTCCTTGTTTCTTGGTGTATTTCTCAGGCTGGTGGCAGTATGCAAATCAGGGCTGAGGAAACAGGCAGAACCTGGCCAAAGCTGGTTAGTGAGAGGCTAAGGCTGAGCTGAGGTWGAATGGGGGCCTGGGCCTCTTTCCTGGAGCACAGATTATTTGCAGCTCAGCTCTCTGGCATTTACCTGCAGAGCAGTTCGGGCTGACTGCAAACCATAGCGCCAAGTGTGATTCTTTAATCTTTTTAAAAAGTGGTGACGGGCTGGGGTTGTGGCTCATCGGTACAGCACTCGCCTAACATATGTGCAGTGCTGGGTTTGATCCTCAGCACCACATAAAAGTAAATAAAATAAWGGTATTGTATCCAACTACAATTATTATTATTATTTTTTAAAGGTGGTGTTAATGATAGAACCCAGGGCCTCACACATGCTAGGCAAGCATTCTAACACTGAGCTGCACTCCAAACCCTAAATTTTTTTACAGTGGAAAAATTCAAACATATTAAACAGGGGGGAAGTAAAAGGAGCTCCATGACCTGCCAGCCAGCATCACAGTGACCACTCATAATCCTCCTTGTTTCATTTCTGCCCATCCCTACTCTACCTGGTTACTTCAAGATAGACCCCAGATATCTTTTCTTTTCTTTTGGGGCGGGGGTACTGGAAATTGAACTCAGGGATTCTACCACTGAGCCACATCCCCAGCTCTTTTTATTTTTTTATTTTGAGACAGGCTCTTACTAAATTGCCAAGGCTGGCCACAAACTTGTAATCCTCTTGCCTCAGCCTCCTGAGTTGCTGGGATTACAGGTGCATGCCACGGCTTCAGGCTCTTGAATCTTTTTGACAGACCGTATGGGGTTGAACAGATTTTCTTGCTCTCTGGTATAAGGTGTTTTAGACTCCTTTTGAACAGTTGTTTCCCAGGATGCCCTGAAACCACGCTGGGAAATGGTAGTAAGAGACCATAGTCTGGGGATCCAGGGACTTGAGTGGTGGCTGAGGCTTGGCAGGCTGCCCCGAATAACAAGGCAACTCAGGTTACTATTCTGAAGAAAAAGAACAGTATAACAAACGCCCCATATGAACATCTCCCAGCTTCAACCAATTATCAGCTCCTCTGGTGTGGAGCAAAAGTCCCAAGTCACCACCCTTTAAGCCTCAGTGTCCTCACTTGTAAAATGGGGAGAGTATTCTCTGCCCTATCTTTCATGCGTTGTGATCAAACCATACAGTGATGGGCCAGTTTGCTTCATAGTCTTTTAGAGCCACTTCTTGAGTTTATCCATCAGGATGCAAAATCAGTGCCTGGTGAAGAAATAAGTTGCCCAAAGTGTTTTTTTCTTCAATAGTTTTTGTCTTTCTGTTTAAATTCAGAAAGGATTGGGACAGGAAGTTTTATGAAATTGTATTTAAAATTAAAATTTAAGAAGAGGTTGGACTGGGCTGGGGTTGTGGTAGTCTAGTGCTTCCCTAGCACTTGTGAGGCACTGGGTTCGATCTCTGCATGCATATAAATATAATTTTTTTAAAAAGAGAAAAAAGTGGTTGAACTGATTGGCTATTAGGATATTAAGGAATTATCAAACAATTATTTAGAAGCAGTGATGGCATTTTTAAAAAATTATTTTTCTTTAATTATAGATAGAAACATTTATTTATTTTTATGTGGTGCTGAGAATCGAACCCAGTGCCTCATACATGCTAGGCAAACACTCAACCACTAAGCCACAACCTCAGCCCAGTGATGGCATCTTAAAAATTTTAATTATCCCCCTTTTTAGAGAAAACACTGAAATAGGCACCCATGGCATGATGTGATTATTCTGAGTCAGAACCTAGTATGGGGCAGTAGCTGGGGATACAGACAGAAGCATATGGGCCATGAGTTAAAAGTTGAAGCTGGATATTGGGCACATTAAACTATTCTATTAATGTTTAAAAATAGTGATTTTGTTAAAAAAAAAAAGAGGCTTAAGGAAAAGAGAGGGCAAAGAATCTAGTACAAGAGGAAAATGCTGGTAGGAAAGAAAAGCTACAAATAGGAAGGAGGCCACTAGTACTGACAATGCTCTTTGCTAGGGTGGGGTCCATCACCGGGTCTGTGTGGTGCACCCCTGAGCTGACCTCCCCCCACAGTGCGCAAGACCATCGTCAAGATCCCCTCCACGCTGGAGGTCGATGTTGAGGACGTCACCTCCTCTTCCCAGAATGTCCACTTCATCAAACCACTGCTGCTGAGTGAGGCCCTGGCCCAGGGGGGCCCCTTCCCCCTCTCCACAGAGATCCTGGAAGTTCCAGAGGCACCCCCCATCTTCCTCAGCCCGTGGGTGGGCTCTTTGCGCAAAGGCCAGAAGCTCTGCATCTATGGCCTGGCCTCACCACCATGGCGGGTCCTGGCCTCAAGCAAGGGCCGGAAGGTGCCCAGACACTTTATGCTCTCTGCGGCCTACCAGGGCAAGCTGCGGCTCCGGCCAAGGGAGTTCCCCACAGCCTATGACCTCCTGGGTGCTCTCCGGCCAGGCCAGCCCCTCCGGGTGGTGGTCACAAAAGACTGTGAGGGGGAAAAGGAAGAATATCCTGAGTTCTCTTCTCTGGCTGTGGGTGACCGGCTGGAGGTGCTAGGGTCTGGCCAAGTCTATGGGGCCCAAGGCCAGGACATAGATGTCTTGGTTTGTCAGCGGCTGAATGACCAGTCTGGGGAGGAAAATGAAGAGTATGAAGAGGTGGAAGACCAAGAACGGCTTCTGCTGCCCCTCTACATGCCTGGTGGCTTTGTGGAGGAGAGGAACGACAACCGGCGCTACAGCCTGGCAGATCTGACTGCCCAGTTCTCCCTGCCCTGTGAGGTCAAGGTGGTGGCCAAGGACTCCAGCAACCCTGCTGATCCCCTGGTCTCCTTCCCTGGCTTGCGGCTAGAGGAGAAGATCACAGAGCCGTTCTTGGTGGTGGGCCTGGACTCCAAGCCAGGGACATACTTCGAGATCCCTCCCCGCTGGCTGGACCTGACTGTGGTGGAGACCGAAAGGCAGCTAGAGTGGCCGGCTGGGCCGCTGCCGGTGGCTACGGTGGAGGAGCTGTCAGAGGCCTTCTACTACAACCTTCGGAAGCTACCAGCCTGTGTGAACCAGGAACCCCCGCCCAGGCCCCCGAAAAGCCAGAACCTCAACGAGCAGAAAACAAGCAGCAAGGAGGAAAGCACCGAGGTACCAATTTACAGCAGGGAGGGGTCCCTTCTCAGGCTCCTCGGGGGCTCTTCCGTCACTTCTTTGCCAGGTTTCTCTAACTTGTAGTTTGCCCCACTACTCACCTTCAGTCCTCGCCATCCTACGGTTGGTGTGATTATCCATATGACTGATAACTGAGGCCCTGAGACTCACCCAAAGTCCAATTAGTAAGTGGGAGGCCTAAACTTGAGCATAACCATGCTGATTCCAAGTTTATGGTTCTTTTCCTTTCTCTGCCACCTGCTGTCACTCTGGACTTTGAGCCTCAGCAATGTTCACTTAYACTGTTCCAGCAGCCTCATTGAGCCTTCCTGGACAGCTGTCAGAAGCCTCCCCAATCCTTCTCTGGTTATTGCTAGGCCTTGACTCCATGTACTCCACATGGCATCAGTGTCCTCTGAGTTGACTCTAGTCTGGCCTTCCTGGGCCATTTCCCACAACCCATTCTGCAGTTCCCACTCCACCCACCAAGGACTCCCAAAGCCTCACACAGGGGGCCAGGACTCCTAGTGGCAAYGTGCACGTACCTGGCCTTTGGCCAGCACCGTTCTTCCATGGGGTGAAGTGAGGCTCAGAGTCCCCTGTGTTTCAGTTATGCTCCAGGCTCTGTGGCTAGAGAGCTGGGGGGTGGCGCAGGGCAGGAACTCTACCTGCTGCAGGGCCAGTGAGCTCCACTGAACTGAACCACAGGGAATCAGGTGTGACAAAAGACCCAAGCATAGTCACATTCCACCACCAGCACAAGCCACTCCTCCACATGTGCTGGTGAAGCCATCTCAGGGTAGACCTGAGGTGGCCTCACCAGCACTGCTGCTGTTAGCTGCCTTCCAGGGGAGCGCCTACTCCATGGCAGGTCTTCTGTAGCACTAGCCCAACTACTCTCAGTACACCTGAGGTAGGAACCAATTCTTTTACTTTTTTTCCCCTGTGGTGCTGGGTGTTAAGTTTTTAATCACTATGACCAAAATACCTGACAACCTAAGATGGGGAAGTTTATTTTGGACTTATGGTTTCAGAGAGGTTAAGTCCATAGCTGGTAACTCTTACTGCTCTGGGCTCAAGGTGAGGCAGAACATCATGGCAGGAGAGGTTGGTGGAGAGCTACTCAGTTCATGGTGACCAGGAAGCAGAGAAATCAAGGAGCCCAGGACAAAATTTAACCCATAAGGCCATGCCCCAGTGCCTTACATCCTCCAACCACACACCACTTGTCTACAGTTACCACCCAGTAGTCCATTTAAATTATTAATCCAGGGTTGGGGTTGTGGTTCAGTGGGAGAGTGCTTGCCTACATGTGTAAGGTACTGGGTTTGAACCTCAGCATTGCATACAAATAAATGAATAAAATAAAAGCCCATCAACTACTAAAAAAATTTTTTTAAATAAAAAATGATTAATCTACCAAAAGGATYAATCCACTGATTAGGTTATAGTTCTTATTAATCTATTTCACTTCTGAACATTCTTACACTAAATACAGGAGGGAGCTGTTCCAGGGTAAACCATTTACCCTGAGGATAGAACTCTACCAGACCTCCATCCCCAGATTATTTTCTTAATTTTGAGGCAGGGTATCACCAGGATGCCCAGATTGGCCTTGAATTTGCAATTCTCTTGCTTCTGTTTCCAGAGTAGTTGGGACTATAGGCATGTGCCACCATACTCAGCAGAATCCAATATTCTTTTTTTCTCATTGAGAAAATAGGCACAGAAAGGCAAGTTCAACATGAGCTCACAGAGTGGCAGGGCTAAGTTTAAAAACAGCCTGTGCACCTAACTACTACTGCTCTGCCTAGAAAATGAGCAGAGAGCTATAAAACAAATGCTTACTGGGGTCCCTGAAACAGGCATATGACTGTGCTGGAAAGAATACTGTACAAAGGACTGAGAGCCCTCAGTCCCAGCCTTGGGTCCACAAGGAATCACTGCTATGGCCCTTGAACAGTACCTGCTCCTGTCTAGACACCAGGCTCTCCCTTTCTGATCAGGGGACGGGGACGGTTCACTCTCTAAAGCAAGATGTGGTGAAAAGGCCACTGGCTTCATAGGTCACCGATGTGGTGCTGGGTCCAATCCTTGGCCCCACTTAGGACCTCTGCCCTGTGGGGATAGCTGACAAGGCACAACTCTTCCTTCATTTGTAAATTGAAAACTGAAACAGACCCTATTAGAGGTTACTTGAGGATTCAGTGTGCACACATGTACGGCCTATGGTAGTTCAGTGAAAGTCCTCTTGGAGCCCTCAGACCAGCAGCTTTGTTCTGAAGCTTTGTGATTATCTTCTCATGGTCTCTCCACTTTGTTTCTCCCCACCCTCCAACCACAGATTTAAAGGCCATTCACTGGCTCCCTATGTGGAGAATCCCAGGGATACCCTGCCTCTAGTCCCCAACCCCAAGTATTTTATGTGCTTGTACCAAAAACAAGCTTCCTGGGAAGCCTTAACCTGAAAAGCAAGTAGAGAGAAGTGGCCATTGTTGGTAAATTATACTTCATGGACTCTGCTGCCATTCCTTGCGACCTTGTTAATTTCTGTTTTTTCTCCCAAAGTCTTCTAAAGTCTCAAAACCAGAGCATCCCAAGACCTCTCTGCTGCCCAAACTAAAGGCGAAGACCTTGCCAGAGTTTTTCAAGGACAAATCAGAAATGTACAGCAAGGTTACCACCCGAAAGGGCATCAGGCCCACTGAGTCCCAAACAGAGAATCCAGGTGAGTCCCTTACATGCCTGCCCACCTTGTCCTTGCTTCTCCCCTTCCTACCCTGTTTCTCTGCTGCTCAGTACATCAGGAAAATGCACTGTTCTCATCTCCGTGGTCCCGATTTGAGGGCTGAGCCAGGAAGGTCCCTTGTCTCTCTCCCATTGGGCTGAAGAGCCCTGGCAAAGAAACAAGTTCAATCCCCAACACACTACCCTCCCCATGGCACACAGGGCAAACCAAGTAGCTGAGGTGTTCAAAGAACAAATTGTGGTTTCTTRGCTACCAAGGACCCAGAACACCCAGGCCAATTTCTTCCCTATTCAAGTGAGGAAACTGTAGAGGGGAAGGAACTTGCCTAATGCCAAAGATTCTCACTGACTTGGAATGCTTTTGCAGATACCGAAGAACATGATTATGAAGAAATAGCTGAGCACTTTCGGAAAACCCTCTAGGTGCTGGAGAAGCTGAGCCTCCTAACTGCTGCATCTTGGGGAATAAGGACACCAGCCAACCCTTGAAAGCCTCCAACATCTGGCACAAGGTCTCAGAGAAATCACTCAGGCAGAGAATGGAACTCAACAGCAGACACAGCACCAGCTCCTTGCTCGTGGATCCCTCAGCCTGAGCTTTGGTATCCAGAGGAGCTAGCTGGGCTCTACTCAGTCTTGTGTCCGTCCCTACCAGTTGTCTCACTGGTGGGTGCAGAGAAGTCAGAAAGGCCACCAACCTTCACTGAGTAAAGGGGACTTCTTTGACCACACTGCATTGAGGGCCCTTCATGTTTGCCACCCCTCCCAGGTTTTTTGCCCCTCAGAGGCTAGGACTGTGTCATCCTCATCTTGATAGCACCTGGCACATGATCAGCACTTGCTAAATGGGATTTGTATGAATGTGTGTGGATCTGGCTTCAAGAACAAAATCTTAGGGCCTTGGTTCTCAAGAACTAGGGGAGCCAATTCAAAAAGAATCTAAGGGAGGGGCTGGGAATATAGCTCAGTTGGTAGAGCACTGCCTAGCATGCATGAAGCCCTGGATCCAATTCCCAGCAAAACACACATGAAAAAACTTTGTGGAGACCCAAAGCTGTGGAAGACTAACAGGTTTCAGTAGGTGGTGCTGACATTGTTAAAGCTATAAGTGACTATTAATATTGTTTCTTCTAAAAACATGTAATAAAAGTAACATCTGGATTTTTTTCTTTTTCCTTTTTCTTTTTTTTTTTTTTTTAGTGCTATGGATTGAACCCAGGAGCACATTTTATTTTTTGAGACAGGGTCTAAATTGCTTAGGGCCACACTAAGTTGCTGAGACTGGCCTTGAACTTGTGATCCTCCTGCCTAAGCCTCTGGAGTTGCTGGGATTACAGGCATGCACCACCACACCAGGCTGGATTTCTACATGAGTATCTTTTATCTTTTCTTAACTTCTGCCTGTACCCCAGACCCTTTACAAACCATATCCAATTCCTTAACTCCTAGAGGCAGACAATGGCTTGATTTTTAAAGGTTAGGAGAAAGATTGATCAAGAGCCTCAGGAGGAAGATTAATGCAGTCAGTAAATAAGGGTGAATTCCCCAAAAGTAAGAGCCTATGTTAGGATCCCAGCTTGCCACCTACCAGCTTTAGCTATCAGCAAGTTATTGTAACCTCTTTAAGCTTCAGTTTGTTTGCCTTCTGGCACCAGGGATTGAGGTTCCAGGATGTTCTATCATCACGGAGCTACATTCCTCTTTTTAAAAATTTTGAGAGAGGGTCTTGCTAACTTGCTGAAGTTGGCCTCAGTTAGTGATCCTCCTGCCTCAGCCTCCAGTGGTACTAGGATTACAGACATGCACAACCACACCCAGCTAAGTTTATTTCTTGACACATAAAACTAATAGTTATTTACCTAACAATACTGTTTTAAAGATCAAGTGAGATATCTTTACAAAGCATTTAGCACAGTATCTGGCACACAGTAAATACTCACTAAACATGTTAATAGTAGCATTGTTGACCAAGGTCATGCAGCTGTGTCTGTCTCTAATATGTACTCTTCCCACATGTGTACACTGTTTTCTAGTAATGAAATTCATACCATGTTTAAAACATGTCATTTCCAGAACTTAAATTAGCATTATCTGCTTCTATACCTAGAAGACCCAAAAAGTTCCACCAGAAAACTTCTAGAACTAGGTAAATGAATTCAGCAAAGTAGAAGRATATAAAAATCAACACTCATAAAATACTTGGGAATCAACTTAAAGAAAGAGGTGAAAGATCTATACAATGAAAACTACAGAACCCTAAAGAAAAGAAATCAAAGAAGACCTTAGATGATAGAAAGATCTACCTTGCTCTTGGATGGGCAGAATTAATATTATCAAAAT